CTACACCACGAAAGATTGTCACGGATATCGTATTTTGAAAAATACTGTTTCTCCGCTACATTCTAGTTAAAAAGAAAATAAAAAAAGGATAACGAGCTCCCAGGCCGATAGCGGAAGAGACGCAAATACAAAGTTTTAACAGCGTTATCTTCTACCACCGCTGAAACTTTTTATCTGGAGGTTAACACTTGGCCGGTGAACTATCTCGTGAGATAGTTATTCGTTATCGTGAGGTTGGGGCGATTATCGGAAGAAAAAAGTAAATGCAAAAAGAGGGTCTTGGGGTCTTAGGTGTTACTATTGGCAGGGTCTCTGTGAGGTGGAGAGTTTTCTGTAAATCTCTTAGCGCGGTGAAAAATTGGCTATCCTGTGCGTCCCCGCCCAAAAAGATTTTCCGAAAAGATTTCCATCCGAGATAAAGCCTCTCGGACTGTTACGGGGTCTCCTTGAAATTTGGCAACATGGCCGCCCCTTTAATTCCTAGAAAGGCCTAATGCGAGATACTTTGGGACTTGGGACCCAAATCCTGGGCCTGAGCCCTCCTTTCTAGGTACGCCCGCACATAACGCAACCAGCAGCCTCCCTCGTGGATTTGCCTTTGCCAAAAACATCTTGTAGATTAATGGTCCTGGGCGCCCCACTCTCTCTAAGTGAAGAAGTGAACAATTTTTACTGAAAACCCATTTTCCTTCTCTCTGCTCATTATCAATTTTCTTTTTTGTCAGTCGTCCAAAAAAAAAAAACTGTAGCGTCTCGAAAGATCCGACCAAAAAAAAAGAACCCCAAAAATAATGATTTCCCAGGCAACAAAAGCGTCCCCCGATTTCTCATGGTTAACTTTCATGAACCAACGCATGGTAATGACACGGAAAGCACCCCAGCTCACGGAGCAACTCTTTAGGCCTGAACCAGCCTATAGTCTGGTTAGATTCGCTATAGCGAACACCCCCTGGTAACACAGTACCCGGATGATTCTCGATTTTCCCACATAATCTATTATCTTCGAAACGTGGGGAACATTATGACGAACTCATACTGCTTCTTCCCCCATCTCGTCAACGATATTAATGATGCAGCGAGTGGATCCGTACGGGTCCCGTAGGTACGAGGACTTACGGACATCGCAATGGGCACATTCCCCCCATAAACAGTGTCGCTGAACAACCAAAAACGAATACAAGGTAAAACCCAGCGGTACTCTTGGACTGTCAGGGGACTAATCCTGGACAGTAAACGGATTTATTGCTCAAAGTCATTCACCGTTATCCTCCAGGTAGCACTATAGCAGACGAGTCCACCCAGGACCGAAGGTCGGCGCTACCTGCGACATCGTCGTCCTCTCCGTCGAGTCGCTGGACTCGCTGGACTTGACGAAGTTGCTCAACTACCGACTCCTCGAGGGACGACGGGAAATCCGTTGACCTTGCGGTCATCTGTGGAGTCGGTTATTCACACCCAGCCGAGTGTGCGCACACTTGCTCCTATGCCAAGTCTAAATTCGCAGACATCCTACCGACCTCCCGACACCCACTCTACGTCTATATACTATTCATATATACATGCACATAGTCTGGCCTTACTACGGCGTACAAGACGCTCAAGCGTTGCTGCCTACGGCCAGGAGTTCCGCTGCACCTTGTAAACTCGTGTCTGAGGTACAGGACGGTAGTCTGGCTATTTGAATTTTCAGAGATTTTCAATTTGGCAAGCGAATTCAAATTACAAGACTTTTGTATTCACCTGGTCCTTTTGAATGATGGATTTCTCGAAGAGGACGATTAGTAGTACGGACGGTACGGCACTACTGAATTGTTAATCATTTGCGTCCTCGGCTTCCACCTTGCATGGACGCTCTCCTTTTTTCTTGTTGGGTTTCCTTGTATCTTTCAGCCGGGAACGAGTCTTCCGGCAAAACCAGAGACTCGCAACTCGTGAATACCGAGCCTGCATTTAGAATTCGAGAAACGTTTCGCTGACCACTTCCTTGACAAAGGATCGAGACGTCCCGACACTGAGATGGGTGGGTGAATCTTGTACCGCTGCGTCTACTACGGTTTACTTGGGTTTTTCATTAGTTGTGTGCTACACTATCATACGAAAAAAAAAAAAAAAAAAAAAAAAGGTACTAGCGAAAAAAAAAAAAAAAAAAAAAAAAAAATGAGGACATCGATCTAAGCACAACTCTATCCTCATTGTCCTGTCTTTTCGTTGTTGTGAGAGAAGAAAACTGAGATCCTCAGACAAAAGTGGACAAGGAGTGGACATAGATCCTGAGGGATCAGCCTCCCGGATGATCCTTCCTAGGCAAGCTTTCATTTTTTCTTTTTTTCATGAAATAGGTAATCCTCCGTTTGCATAGAAAACCGATTGCCAAAAAATACTCCTTACCTAATCCTTACGACTCCCCTTGAGCGCAAAGCGTGAGAGCCGAATCATTTATCGAAATACTACACTCTGACCGCATGCTAATTTCTTACGATCCCACGTTCGTATTAAGTAGATGGGCAGAGCAATTTTGGCTTTTTCTAAAACCACATATCAGTTTCTCCCTTATTATCATCTCCCCGTAATTGAGAACTACTGGAAGATACTGGCAAAAAAGTTATTGAACACGTAAAATATTCCGTTTCTCTAATTTCAATGGGCACATTTTGCGCAGAGAAGTTGTCGTTCGTGACACAAGTTGATTAAGACAATCCGTAAATATCTATACATATATGTGTATATAATTTAGTAAGAGACTGTAAAAAGCTTCCATTATATAATACGTTATCGTACAGTAGCGAGTTTCCTTGAAAAGCAATATTCCTTAAAGTTCCTTCGCTTATACAAGAAGGGCCAGGCGGTTCAGTCGTAGCATGAAAGTGGATCAATTTTCAAAGCTATCGCATTTCTGCACTGGACTTCCTTCTCTCGTCCTCTTTCTTTTTTGTCCCTTTATCTGTAATCTTTTATTCCTTCTACTCCTCCCCCGGCTCTTCCTTCAGGACCCACAATGGGGTGGTGCACCCGTTAAGGATCAGCCAAGTGTGATCTGTCACGGATGATCTGCCTCTGCCCATTATGTATCCTTTCCTATTCTAAATTGTCACAACATATTCTCAAAATCACACGGTTTCGCATGTCCCGTCCATGATAGTGCTCGAGCCAACCACGCCCCAGGATACGTGACCCTGATCCTCAATTTCCCTGGAACTTTTCACGAGGCACCGCTCCAGGACCTTAGGTTCCCCTTACCACGAGGCACCTTTCCCTTTCTAAAAGATTTCCGCCCCGTCATCGCCCCGCTTAAAAATCTTTTATAAAAATCCTCTAACGTAGTCATGCTGCAGCCTCGTATAAATTAAAACTCGTCCGGAATTCTTATTTTGTCTGCGAGGAAGGTATCTGGCAGGATACGTAACGGGGATCCTTAGGCAATTTGATATAGCGTGTATTGTGGCATTCTATGCGCGATGCGCAGCCTATTATAATTTATATTTATTCAGTCGCATTGCGCGAGCTTATCTATAATAAAGATGCGGACTCGTAGTCATTTTGCTACATTCGTCAACCTACATTATCACGTTGTTTCAAAGTGCATAGACTTTCCGCAAGCGTCTCACGCTTCTACGAATATCCATCTGCTTTGCATATTTCAAGAAATTCTCGCGCGCCTGGAATCCCCACTTTGAACGTGCCATATAATACTATAGCACCTAAGTACGAAGCACGAGACGCCAGGAGAGTGAGTTCATGTTGGCCGCCGCGACGCGGGAGCCTCTGACTCTCCCTACTCTCACTGGCAGCGCCGCGTATCGAGGCGCAGCGCTACTGCGCCGGTGAAAAGTAGTTCGAGTGCCATCGATGTTTTTGCAGAAATCTCTAGAAGTACGCTACGACAACAGCTTTACCTTTGACGGAGTGTCTGATTACGTTCCCGGAGAAGAAATTTCGTATGCGTTCGTCTTAAAAAGACGTATATTTTGCGAAAAATGAGACATTATGGAACAGTGTCTGGCGGGCGCGGCATCGTCGGTGGATCCTCACGCGGTAGCCCCAGGAACGTAATACTGAAGACGTCGCCCTACGCATTGAGCAATAATTAATACCATTATTTTCTAATCACACCCGTAATAATTTCTATCTGTGTTCAATTTTAGTGGATTGTCGAAAAAGAAAATTGCATTTTTTTTAATGTTGATAAGAGATCTTTCAGGAAGGCCGATTATACTGGATGGTCTCTAGTCCGTGATGGCGTTATGAACTTTATGAAAAAAAAACTGGTGGAAAAAATGAAAAGTTTTCAGTACTTTCATCCTCTTCGATTCTGGAATCTAACAATGACGTAACGTGCGTCGCTATCAGAGTGACTATAAACATACATGGCTTTTGTGTAACCGAATATGTCAAGGGCCTCTGCGTGCAGTCCCATCGGTAATCTATCATTAATTTCCTAACAGCGCGTATAAAACCAGCTAATGATCTTCTCAAGCAACCCTTAAGTTTCCATAAAATTTTAGACCCGTGCAGAGCATCCTAAAACTCTCACATTTCACTTCTGTTTTACGAATCTAAAATCATATAAAAACACCGGCAACAGACAACCATCATTGTGCAATCACACCTGATAATACATAATCCATATCGCAAAGCCAACCGATATCAAATGTAAAAATTGAATTGTTACAAGGTAACCATTTTGTCCCCTCTCACGTATATGTGTATGTACTCACGTGTACAAATTACTTTTAAACGTTCTCCACAAACAGTTACGTCTGATAAGAGAGTATCTGGTCAAAAAAAAAGACTGAAACGAATTAATATCGTCAGCAGCATGGCCACAGAGGAATCGTCGACTAGAATAAGTAGCCAAGTTGGCAGGTCCTAAAGCCCGGGGCACCCTAGCCAGCGCGCCGAAGCACGGCCCTGGCGCCGGGTCGCAGAGCAGTGTGGTGAGCAGTGGATATGGCCATGGAGGATAGTAACGCTAGCAGGAGCGTTCAGTTGCCTATAACCGGCCAGAGGGAGAGAACGACTTGTAGCCGGTCGCGCGCGCGCCAGCACCAACCACCGCCTATACTTCAGTAAAAGCCATTCATTCGCGCACCTATAATGCACTTCTTCAGTCTGGCCGATCTTAGCTACGGTTTTGTATTGTTCGGCAACCTTAAAGAGACTCTCCTTGAATTGTGCTGGTGTCCTAAAGGCAGTACCGGTAGTGCCTCCAAGTAGTCCGGTAGTAGCCGCGTTATAAGGAGCGCGCGCACACCCCTTGACAATTTTCCTTCGCACATTGCGAATATATTTCTGCATTGAAAAATTCAATTTTTCAATCGGAATTATTACAAGGAAATACTACTTTTCAAGGCGGCCTTAACCGGCGACGGTCGTAGGACGAATAATTTTCGTACATTTCGTTCTGTTTAATATTTCAGAGTTATACTTTCGTGTAACTCTCTAATTCGCGTATACCATCTGTACGCGACGAAAACGTGTGATCTTCAGTGATCTGTTATTTCTTGGATTACACTTACCAGCAGCAGGTTCGTAAATTATTGTTAACTTGTATATTTTCTTTTTTATCCTGTGGTGATTTGAGTTTACCGATATAAATCGTAGGTTTACTTGCAACCAGTTAATTGCTAGACTTATTCAACTTTGATATCCTCTATATTAGCAAGTCATACTGCTCGCGACTACTTTTGCCAACTTTCTTTTTCATTGGAACTGTTTTTTTCTCTTTCTCTTTCTGTCTCGTACCCGATCTCGTGGATAGGATAGTTTGCACGGCATACAGTGAATGTGTGTACCGGTGTACCGTTAAAATTGCGTCATATAATTTGCGGGGGCAGCTGTAAAATTTGGCGCAGGAGACTTATTCGATCGTGCTAACTTGGAAAGGTCGGAATGAAAGTGGTTCATTTTATTTGCTATCTTTCTCTGAACACGACCGGTTCGAGAATTTGGATCAGTGGCCGTGTACGCGCATTCTCTCAGCTTTATTCTCATACATCAAAAGCAGTCTAATCTATAAATAAAACTGTGGCGACGATTGTCGCGGAATTTGAACCAGTGCATGATTCATCCCTCCAATTTAACTGATAAATCCAAGCCTTCACAAAAAATTATCTGCTCTATATATTGAACTTATTGTACCCATTATATACACAAAAGATACACTTTCACAAATGCGTATCGAGGATCCCTTTCCGTATCCCTTTCATGATGATTTACAAAAGTCTACCCTGACCTATCGTGGCCATTACAATTAAAAAAGAGATTAAAGAGAAAGCAAAAAAAAACAAGCCTATCCTGTTATACAATATGCATCCTATGTTCTCAATGTTCTACGTTTAAAGGCAGTTTAAGGTGCATCGCTTCTTGACAACTGATATGCGATCCTTGATGATGTGAAAGGAGACCAAAAAGTAGTAATTTTCTTCACTGAATATGTTGTTAGCCATTTCTCGTAGGTGGTTTGTTGGCGGTAGATATGTATTCGGGTAGCTCTACGTACTATTTCATGCACAAGTCCGTTACTTGAGCCAATCTTAGAACGTTCCTAGTTCTGCCGCACGAGGGAAGCACATGAGTTTGCCGGGCTTTTGCCTTCCGAGTCCCAGCGAGAGTTTCGTATTGGGGTCGTATTCCAGGAGTTTACCTGTTTTTTTTCCGTATTATACGCTTTAAACAAACGAATCCCTAGACCTTTTTGTCAGGAGCCAAGGTTGACCCGTGAACAATTTCTAAGCCGATTCTCTTTTATTTTCGATGCCCGGCCGTCAGGTCACAGTTTTTGTCTCAAGGGGCATGTTGTTATTTGTATTAATGGCTTTCTTTACGTTTCTATTGTATTAAAATTGCCCATAGCCAAAAGGAATTCACCGTGGCATGCGATATGGTTATCTTATTCGAATATTAGTCAAATCGAAGTATGTAACAATTAACGTAAGATCGCGATAGGTGAGTTCATTATCGCAACCTACATATATTCGGCGGCTACTTCGACTTTGCGATATTGATCTATCTGTTATTTCTCGAAATGCGTCTACGCGTGTATTCCGATATACTCAGGAGTTATTCAGCACGATGAAAGAGGATTATTATTAATAGGATGGACCCGACTTACAGGATAGAGAGTTACTAAGAATTCTGAGTCACCAGTTCATTCGTGAATGTTAAGCTGGTAGGCCACCTTGCCAATTTCTTTTTTTTCACTAGCAAATTCTCTTATGTATTCTTGAAAAGTCGTTATTTTATTTTCGAGCTATTTTGGTCATTAATTGCGTATATTTGAATTTGACAGTTGAAGATGCCAGTGCCAACCTGGGCCTGTTCCGATCTAGGACTCATAGATGAACCCGTGGATACAGCCACGGTTGTCTCCGAGGACATCTGGAAGAAATTCAACCTCGACTTCCCTCTGGACATCTACAGTGACCGTGCAGAATACGACTGTGGCTTCCCAGAGGACAACAATGTGGATTGCCGAGATAAGAGTGCAAACGTAAAGTTCCGGAAGATCCGTCATCACGATTGCATGTGGGCCGGACTCTGCATAAGCGAAGAACACAACAGGACGCTTCCGGCGAAAAAGGATAATCAATCGATTCAGAAGAAAGTACCGGCCGGACGAAGTCTCCTGATATCACGTGCTGCACAATCTTGTCAAAATGTCAAAAATCTCGAGAGCGATGGCGATTCTACCAGACCGGAAACACCGCAGAGTTCGGATTCGGATACCGAGACGGTCGACGAGCCGCCACAATTCAAACACGATCAAATCAGCATCAACGAGAAGCTGTCGGAGTATTTGGGCGTCGCGAAGGCAGCGCCCGTCAGTGAGGTCACAGGTCAACTTGTGAGGAGAACCCACGAGAAAAGAAAAACGGAAGAAACAAACAGTTGTGGTTTGAGGAAGGAAACGGAAATCCGGAACACCCTGAGCGATCATTGCTATCATTTGAATCAGACGGCCAGTAAAAAGCTGGACCACTTGGGCGTGCAGACTCCATCGGACTCTGGTAAGTTGACGTTTTGCGTAAAAAAAGTTTTTTTTTCCTTTAACGTACCTATTTATACTCTTTCGTTTAGATTTTCAAGTGCAAAATAAAAAGAAAGTACTCTTAAGTGGATTCGGTTCGTCGAAGGGTTAAACAAAGTGCACTTGCGTCCTCGCTAAATTCGAGTACCCACCCGCATACGTAGAGGGCCGGCAATTGGAATCTGCGTAGTTGGCTTTCGGGGAAAAAATAAATGTCTAAATTAATCAGCCCGTTAATAAACAGGATCTTATCGCGAAAACCATTTCGAGGAGTTCTAATCAGTTCTCAGGATGAGTAAGGAGGATGAAAAAGGCGCCAGGCGATCACGTGAAGAATAGACTTTTTCTTTATCTGTCGGATTTATCTAACGGCGTAAAAATCAAGATATCGTTATGCACGTACAATGTAGCACATGCGCGTTACTACTTGTATGCGACAGTCACAGCGAGAAAGGCGCGGCGAGTGGTGACGGCGCCGGGGGTGTTCCCTGAAAACATTGCACCACATGGTGAAATCCTCCTGTTATGTGTAATAAGACATGCTAGGACATATATATGTAATCCTCGTGCTAATAATTTATCTAGCAGCGACGTCTGGCGTCTCTAACTGTATATAGAGTCTACTGTTGCCGTATCTATATCTATAGTATACACTGTTGGTGGGACTGGCGGTGTGTCTCGGTCGTCGTTACTCAGTATTGGTATATAGAGAAATGCGAATACCCGTTTCCCTGCATAAATGCATATACATGCGTTTACGCGTATACGTATTACACGTTCGCTTCGCACTCAATTCTGCTATCTTTTACTACTTGCCGTTCCTTCTTTTTTTTCCGGCTCTTCTATCCTTTCTTTCTCCCACTCTCGGAACGACCAGTTCGGCCAGCCCGGTAAGATTAGTGACCGGACGACCGCTCGTGAATTTAGCCTTCGTACCGTTGAACTACGCGTGATTGGTAATTGCTTAGTCTAGAGGTCATTTCTGACGTGGGTCAGCAGGGAGGTTGCGGTGATTCGTTGCACCCGCACAATATCATCGGCTCCTACTATTACGTGTATATCGCACTGGGGAGTGAAGATCACTTATACATTTCTTCTTTTATTACTTTCCTCGTTATATCTCCTCGTAATCGGTTACGAAGTTGTAACCTCCTCGTGCACCCTGACCCTCGCACGCTTTGGCTTCGCTACGTCGATTCGTTTCGTGAATTCGTTATATGCTTTATTTTTCTTGCCGAAGCGCGCGTATAGCTACGTCTTGAAAAATCAGGCAATTCAAGGTCATCGGGCAGTGACGTCACTGGTAGCCACTGAGCGCGTCCTGCGGTCAACCGTGGTTTAAATGCTCGAAGGAATGCGGCGAGCCCTTTTTGCCATTCTTGTCTGCCAGTCGCGCAGTCGCCCTGGCTCGTGCCAGGGGTGTATCTATTGCGCGTAGCGCGTGGCGCGCAGTGCCGGCACCGTTTAATTTCAACAATTTCATTTTCTCTCGCCCCGTTCGCCTGACAGTTACGTAGGATCATTATTTTTCTTAGTGTCTCCTTGAGCTGCGATCTTCGAACGATCTCTACAACGGATAATCGTAATGAAAGTTTTCCATGAATTTCGTACAATTATCCAAGGAGTAGGATCACGTACCGGCTCGTTGATTAATTCCAGTTAAGACGGTGATCCTGGCTTGGTACGATTTTGAATAGAAATTTATTTTCTAAAAGTTCCAAGAATACGACTATACGTATATGCATGTTTAACCAGAAGTCGGTCTGCTGTCTTCAATGAACAATTTATAGATTGCGTATGGCTAATAGTCTATCGAGAATTGTTTTGTTTATCGAACTACTCGGATTTATTAGATGCGCGCGCAGAACGGACGTACCATAGGTGTAGAGGGACGAAGGGGATGCAAGAGTGGGAATGTCTAGGCGATGTTTCGCGGTATTCATACGGGAAGCCCACCTTGCTTTCATTGCATATGCAAATCCTTTCGGTTTCCGAGAAAAGTGCTGGCGCGCCGTGGCTGCTCGTGAAGTACATAAAAATGTCCACCTATGTGCCTACACGGTCGTAGGATCTGCATACGTATGAGGACAGCACACGAGGCCGGGAGCGGTCACTCGTGAAGGAATGCTTGAGTTTGAGAAAAGGAAAAATAAAAAGAAAAAGAGTTCAATTATTGAGAGGAGGAGAAAAAATTCTTCATACTTAATTTTCGGCGCACGCCTTCCGGAGGAGTCACCTTTTACAATTTGAATCAGTCCCTTTCATTTCTGCTTATGTGAATTTCCACGGACTTCCGCGTATCGCGTATCTCATCGTCGCTGGGATTTTTGATCGGCGACTGTGTGCGAAAGCACATCTCCCGATGACGTAATTCATTCATTCATTAGCTTGGCCTGGTGCGTGAGAGAGTGTAGATAAGTGCCATATTACACCGGCGTGACGAAACACCCACGCGGCCTTAGGTCGCGCTCGTGACTCGGAAAAGAGGAGATCCCTGTTATGTGGACCTTTATTTTTATTGTTTAATAGAACATATTTTGGGTTTTCTTTTTATTTTTTTATTTCCACTCGCTTCCTTCCTTATTTTCCGCCGATATGTCAGCTTCGATATTTCGGCTTCTTTTTGCGATATTTCCCATCGTCTCCGGTTTCGTCGCTTCCTGCCTCGCCTAATGCAAAATATTTAACTCTTCGACTTCGGTCGAACGATTTATCGATTCACGGCGCTCGTCCGTTCGCACAAGCACTCGTCTGTTTTTCAACATTCATAGCAATTTCTCTATTTCCATTTTGTTGACGTTAAACGTACGAAGAGCGTGAGGCTGGTGCAGGTGGGGGGTGGGGTGGGGCCGCAAAATGAATCTAACAGTTCAGCGAACCGATCTCTCTCTTGCCAATCTATTCCACCTAGCAATTAAGGGTCCGCCGTGACGTCTGAAATGTCAAGCGCAAAACCTGATTTGGGAATGTCATCCAGCTTCGACGTCGATCGGAGATACAGCCGACTATAGGTGGATTCGGAGAAAAGGATCGAGCGGTCACGGGCTTTACGAACTTTCTGATTAAAACTCTTCCTCGATACGTGGAAGCTATTTTCGAATATCTCTTTAGACGAATTACCAGCGTGGCCACCGTCGGATTCGAAAGGCCAATTCTAACTTAACTGCACAGTTACCGGCAAGCTGATCGCGCTCAGTGGCTACTCGAGTAAGCGCAGGAATCCCCCGGCGCCTCGCGACGACGCGGAGCGTCGCCACCTACCAACTATCCTCAGTTTGGCGTTCGCGCGACTCGCGTAAGAAGCGCGAAGGCGCTTCGGGCTAGAAACGGGATTTGCGTTTTTTACTTTCCTCCCACTTCCCTTCTATTGCCAACTTTGCGTCTCACAACATCATTTGTTATCTCGAACTAACGATCCTTTGCTTCGCTTTGATCCCGTTTTAAAACCGGAGAAAAATAATGGACGTCCCGATTAAAATTTTTTAATAATTCCACTTCCGGTTATCCGTCCAGTCTACGTTGATCGAAATACTCCAGAGCCTCTACAAGCATGAGAATGTCCTTTTGAAACGGCACAACGTGTCTTCAATGAGAGCTAACGAAGTCCCATTTAAAGCGTGTATTGTCGGTCCGCTTGAAGTCGAGTCAAAATTCGCGATATCCTGTTGGGAATCGATCGGCCGGGACCGCTGCGCGTATATCGGGTGGGACATAAAACACGGAATGCTGCCTCCCCTTCTTTTATGTATTTCTCTTTTGTCCTCCTTCTCTCTCGCGGCATTCATCCCCCACCATCCCTCCTCGAGTACTTCTCCTCTTCCCTATCCTTCCCCCTCCCTTTTCTCATTCTTATTGCATCTCTCGTGTCTGTGGACTCGCGAACCGATTCCCGATCTTCTTCCATCCTCCCCTCCCCCTACCCCTCCCCCTCCCCCTATTGCCATTAAATACCCAACTAAAGCGGCATCTTTGTACGTGAAAAATCATCACTTCCTATGACCACCTGCCTATGACTCATCTGTGACTCGTTCACACAGCATCTTCCTGCTCCAGACAGAGAGGTAATTTCGTAACTGGATTGCGGAGGCTCGAGGGTGGACGCAGTCGGCGAACGCGTGGGTTTGCCATAAGAGACGTCCATCTTCGTTCCTTGGAAAGGGGTCCAGATAGTCACTTTATATCGCACTGATGGGTAAAGCAATGGATTCTGCTCCGCCAGAGCAACGTGGCTTCTGTCATCTGTCGACTTTTCCTCGTTCGGTTCCTCGATTAGCTTCATGGGAAATCGTTGGGTATTCTTTACGACTTAGGCACTCCGTCCCTTCACCCTTAAGTTTTACCGTTTTCCGCCCTTCGGCGAGCGGCCCACCCTTCGCCAATATCCACCCCGTCTGGCTCCCTGTTTCCTCCCTTTTTTGTCCTTCGTTCCAGTACACCCCCTTTCTCTCGCTCTCTCTCCCTCCCGCCCGTGACGTAGAGCGTCACCGTCGCCGACGGAGGCGCTCGATAACGTCGAGAGGCGTCGTCAGGGCCCGCCTATCCCAACACGCGCGTTCACGCGACGTCGTACTATGGCCTGCTTACATGGGGAGCACTGACCTGCAAGGTCGCTCTTACGTGGCTGCACGTGCTGCTGTGAATCTACGCTGACCCCACCAGCTCGCCACCTCCGCCACCTCCACCGCTACCTTCGGCAGATCTACCCCCGCCATCGGCATGCTCTCGCCTCCTCCCTCCCCTGATCCACCAACACCGCCGCTCGCTACTTTTGCGCTGAACCACCTACACGAATGGATCCACGCGTTCACTGCCATGCCCCACCTTCACGCACGTGGGCTTTTCCTTGTGTCTCTAATGCGTGTGCTGTTCTATATCTTTTATCTCGTGCGATACTCCAGTTTGCGAGCCGGATAGGAGAGCCTTCTGCTATTGGCTGACATTGCCACGTGCGTACACTTTTTTTGGCGATGGGCGGGAGGGAAGGCGGGGGGG